TTCAAGAGTGCCCAAGAGCCCCCCACAAGGGTCTTACGACGAGCCAAGATGGCCCCAAAACGGCCCCAGAGGGCCCCAAGACGGCCCAAGAGGGCCCCAAGAACGCCCCAAGAGCGGCCCCAGGGGGGGAACACGACACAACATGTCCAGCCCTCGGCCCTAAGAAGCCCCCAGGAGGACCCCAGAGGCCCCTGAGAGGTCCCAAGAGGCCACCAGAAGCCCTCAGGAGACCCCCCAAATGCCACCCCCCAGCACGCAAGCAAGCGAAACAACATGTCCAGCCTTCGCCCCTACGAAGCCCCCAGGAGAACCCCAGAGGCCCCTGAGAGGTCCCAGGAGGCACCCCAGAAGCCTTCACGAGAGCCCCCAAATGCCACCCCCCAGCACGCAAGCAAGCAAAACAACATGTCCAGCCGTCGGCCCCAAGAAGCCCCCAAGAGGAGCCGAGGCCCCTAAGAGGTCCCAAGAGATCCCCAGAAGCCCTCAGGAGACCCCCCCCCTCCAGCACGCAAGCAAGCGCTAGCGATGTGCTACAAGATCGGCCCGAGAGGCTTCCAAGAGGGGCCCAAGACTCCCCAACAGCGCCCCAAGACTGCCCAACAGGGCTCCAAGACAGGCCAAGAGGCCTCCTAGACAGCCCACGAGGGCCTCAAGGACGCCCCAAAAGGAACACCAAACAACACTTCTAGCTCTCGGCCCTCAGAGGCTCCCACAACGCTCCAAAGATGACCTCGACACGGTCCATGCGTGTTCCAAGACGGCCCCACGCGCCTCCAATACATCCGAAAACAGCCTCACTACGGCTCCAAGAGAAGCCCAGACGAGGATGCTAGACGAACATTTCGGCCCCTCGGCCCCCACAGGCTCAACGGCAGTGCGCGATATGGGCCGGCGGAATGAGCGAAGCGATTAAATAATAAGAGGCGCCTTGAAATCTGGGGAACTATCATGGCCCACGCAATGATGTCCACCCCCCCTAGTCATCACTCTCCTCTTTGCGCCGCCCCCGAGCGTAGACAAACACGCACAACATCGAAACGAAAACCCTGCCTGCCGCAGGCGCCTGCCGGGGAGACTCTGGGGATTTTTTTGGGGCGCGGACTTAAGTCGGGCGTGTCCCCCTACAGGGGGATTTTCGACGAAACGCAAAAAATACCTCCAAAATGCCCCAAAAGGAATCCAAACATAGTCTGGGGGCTATGTTTTGAGTATTTTTCTTTTTTTTACATTTTTCGGTGCATTGTGGGAGTATTTTCAATTTGTCGTCGAAAATCCCCCTGTAGGGGGACAGGCCCGACTTAAGCGCAGACGCGGGCGCCCAGAGCCATCCCCAACAGAACGCCCCACGTGCCAGGCCCCGCCGCGGCCCCGCCGCGCGGCAGCGGCGCGGCGCCGCGCGCGAGAGCAGGAGCTTCGGCAGGCCGCGCGGGGGTCGCAGCAGAACTCGAGGCTGCACCCCCCTTGCCGTCGCTCGGGCGTCCATTTTCCCGTGCGTTTTGTATGTTTGTTGTGCGTGTTCTCTTTGCTCGATGGTCCAGGATGGTCCTCGATGTGGTTCTCGCCGAGAAAAAATGCAAAACTCGAGGCTGCCCCTACCTTGCCGTCGCTTCGGCGTCCATTTTCCCGTGCATCTGTTGGTTTTGTGCGTGCTTTCTTTGCTCGATGGTCCAGGATGGTCCTCGATGGTTTTCGCCGAGAAAAAATGCACACGTCCGAGCGATGCCAGCATGCCACCAGCTGCCAACCCACTTCTGCACTGGCACGACCGCAATCACACAACGAATGGCTCAACGTGACGACTCGCTCCCAGATCCTGGCCTTCGCTTGATAGCCTGACTGGACGCGGCCGAGATCAGAACCATGTCTGCAAGTAAGTTTCGCCTGCGCTCCCGGGAAAAAAAACGATCCCCCGCAAATGATTCCAAACTCGCGCTCCCGACGCCCCGATCCCCCCCGCAGATGATGCGACACGATGCGCCAGATTCGCGCCCTTAGAAGGCAGCAGAGCGTCCAACAACAGCTCCGACACCTCAAGAGGTGCGTGCGGAGCGCCAATCGCCCCCACACGTCGTCCCCAGAGGTTTTCACAACAGCGCCGACTCGTCCCAGCAGAGCTCCGACAGGAGAGGGGGGCCAGCGGCGCATGGCGAAGCCCCGACGGCTGCGCAGCCAGAGCACAAGACTGTGCTGCAGGGGGCCATCGTTAGCCTCAGAGCTGGTCCTCGCGGGGGCCAGGTATCTCGGGCAGGGGCTGCAGCTCAATCGCGAGAAATTCTTACGAGTGGGCTCTGGTGTCCCTGCATCCGATACGGCTCTCGTGCCAACATCAGGAACGTATAAGAAGGAACGAAGGGGCTTTTCTGGCCATGGCGGGCCTAGGCCACAAGCAGTTGTTGCATTGGTTATGTCGTCTGTGTTCTTCTCCCTCGCAAAGCATCGCTTGTGACCCTACCACAGCTTGAATCCAAACGCAGCTAGGCAAATCGGGAACGCCGCGCAAGCCGACCTGGAATAGGCAAACTCATGCTATGAACCGTGGCCTGGGCAACGACTCGGCAGGGCAATTTCTCTGAATGCTCATGGATACCCCCCGCGGCCCGAACGGCCAACAAACAGGTTCCACCACATAAATCTAAGGAGCGACCCGAAAACTCGAGTCCCTCCTCAGCCACCTGAGCCCCAAATGGCCCCCAAGAGGCTCCAAGAGGCCCCCAGGAGGCCCCTGGGAAGCCCCATGAGGCTTCCAAGGGCCTCCCAAGAGGCCCCCAAGTCCAAGACGCTCGTAAGAGGCCCTCAAAACTGCCCCCCAGAGGCCTCCGAGAGCGCTCCGAAGGGACCCCAAACAGAATCCCTGAGGACTGTGACCCACGTTAGCGTCGTCGTCGTCGTCGTCGTCCCCCTTCAGGGTCGGCGTCACTGGCCGTAAGGCCAGTGCCGATTCAGGGGTCCCCCTTCAGGGTCGGTAGGGAACGACCCAAAAACTCGGGCCCCTCCGCAGCAGGAGAGCCCAGAATCGAATCGATAAGTCGGATCGGCGATCGAAATGAATCGGATCGGCGGAAATCGGCAGCCGAGTCGGACATCGGCAGGCTCGTGGGCCTCCACTGAGACGTCGGAGCCTACACTTGGAATCCCGAATCGAATCGAATCGGCATCGGAAACCGTTGAGAAATCGAGTCGGACCGAATCGAAGCGGGAGCCATCGACATCGAATCCGACTCGGAAGCCGTCGAGATCGGATCGGATCTGAGTATCGTTTAACCGATCCCCATCCCCAGCGGCGCGGCCTGGGCCCCACTGGCCGATTCACCCCCCCTAGGAGGGGGATACAGGCCGTTCCCTTCGGGGTCTCGAGGGGTGTTATCCCCAACTGGGGGAGTAATTAGGTGGGGGTCTCGAAGGGGATGGGTATGAAAATGGGGATCGGGTCACCTATGCCGAGGATCGAATCGGAGGAGTCGAGGGGCGAGCACTGCGCCGCAGAGTCCCCCCCTGCGGCCCAGCGCGCTCCCCACGTCGGCGTCCTGGCCGCAGCCGAGCCGAGCCGCCGCGGCCCGGGGCGGAAACGGCGCGGGCGCGCGCGCCGCGGCGTCTCCCAGGGGCCTGCACACTCGAGGCACGTGGCGGGCTCTCGAGAGAATTTAGACATTGATCGCGTCGTAGAAACAGAAAAGGTCGAGGCGGGAGGTCTTTGGCCAGTCTCGGCCTCGGGGGGCCCTCGACGGGCCTCGCGCCGGTCAAACAACGACTCGGGACGAAGAACCGGTCCCGGGGGGGGAAAGGGTCGGGGCTTCCAGGGACGCCGCCTTGAAGAAATCAGGACGCCGCATGTCTGGAAAATGACCCTGGACAGCTGGTCTGCAAAGCATCTGTCCTGGATTGGCTTGGTGGTTTGTGATTGTTGATATCAGGAGCTTTCACCTGAGGCAACCAGGCTCCAACCTGCGATCGGCTGCTCCTGATGCGCACCACGGCTAGGTCGGGCGTGTCCTCCTACATGAGAATTTTTGACGAAAAATAAAAAACCCGAAAACAATTCAACGGATGCTCAAACATGCTCACAAAAAATCGTCCCCCGACTTTTTTTACCATGTTTGAATATTCCTCCTCTGTAGAGGGACGTGCCCGACTTAACACCACGGCGGCGACATTGTCTTTGCTTCAGCGGCGGAAGGGCAGCCTGCCGAGCGAAAAGCCGGGGCCCGGAACCCGCAGGGACAGCCGGGCAAGGCACGGCGGCGATGGTGTCACCCAGGTCATGCGTGGAAGCGGCTGGCCCGGAGGCGTCTCCGTGGCCGGGGCCTCTGTTGGTGTGAGCGCCCAGGCGGCGGTCCTCGAGCGCGTTTCTTTCGAGGATAGTGGGCATCATAGGGGGGAGGGGAGGGGGCCGGGGGGGGGGGTATAATGTAACGCCTCCCCCCCGCCGTGTGCCCGATGCGCACGGCGGCAGTGCCCAGAGCGCGCACTGGAGGGGGGAGGGGCGTTGCGTTATAGGGGGGGGGAGGGGGGGGGCGGGGGCTACAACGTCCATTATGCCCCAACTAATAAACAGACACGCTCCTAGCTGCATTGGTCTGCGTGGGTCCACTGCGTCCACGGGAAAGCCTGAGGAAGGTGGTGGCAGCGGAGCGAAGTTTCTCCCGACGGCAGCCCTGCTCATCCCACGCAATCTCGTGATGTGCATTCAACGCAACAGCAATGCGCAGATCGTCGTGGTATCCACCTGTGCCAATCAAACTTCCCAACGTGGAGGGGACCCATCGTTGCACTACCGTGGCATGGCGTAAAACATGCAACGAAACTAACCCACAGACTTCCAAGACGTGTTGAATGTTGACCCCGCCACTGTCTCACAAGCTACCATGGCAATCATGCGCGGCAACGCAAATTGACAATCGACTCCACACCGCCAATGCAACTAACACACATGCACCATGCTCGTCACCGTAAACACAATTCTCTACGCACCATGTAGAAACCCGCACCAACCCGCTGCCGTCCAAACAAATCTGGCCTTTGGCCAGCTGTGTGTACGCCGTCACCTTGCAAAAGCGGACCGCTCAACACACAAGCGAGATGAGCATCGTTTATCCGACCCATCCCCAGCGGCGTGGGCTGGGCCCCACTGGCCGACTTGCCACCCTGATGTGGATCTCTTCGGGCTTCGAGGGGCATCCTCCCAACTGAGGTGGTGAGACGGTGAGGCTCCAGCTGTGGATGGGGACGGGGATAGGGATCGGTTAAACCATACTCCATACTGGCGAGAACGACCAAGCGGAACATCTGCGCGACGTTCACGGGCAGCCCATCTGCGTCTCGCCATCGCTCGGGCGCCCGAGGTGCTCCAGAGAAAGCTCCCAGAGTGCCCTCGCCGAGGAACAAGAATGCACACGCCCGAGCGATGCCAGGGCGCCCCCGCTTCGTCCCCTTCCAGAGGAGAATGCTTGCACTAGGGTCAGGTCGGGCGTGCCCCTCTACAGGAGGAATGTTCAAGCATGGTATAAAGGAAAGCTCTGGAGACGATTGTTTTAGACTACTTTTGGGCTGTGCGTGATTCTTTCTTGATCATGCTTGCCTTTCCTGGACAATCCTCCTGTAGGGGGACATGCCCGACCTAACACTGGAGGCTTCTGCTTGAATTTGCTTATTTTGTTTATTTTGTTGTTTGTTGATAAATAATACATATGCTAGAACAATGTTTTTTTTTTACGTTTTTTTGTTTGATATATGTATACATATAACACACACAAGCACACACAACAAAAACGGTCCCGGGCCTCGGCCGCACGCGGCCCCGCCCGCATAGAGGTCCCGCCCACGGGGGAGGGGGGAAGCCCCCGACGGGGCACCACGCCGCGCCGCACCGCGCGGACAGCTCGTCTGTCGTGAGCTCTCGGGGGCGGAAGGAACCCCCTTTACAGTCAACCCGTGTGGTAAGGATGCGCGGTACAGTCGGGCCGCTGAAAGGAGGAAGGCTAAATAAGGAACGAAGCCCCTTCTTGGCCCTGTAAGCGTCTCCGTGTCTCAGGAGGGCAAGAGGAACAGCACTGGAGGAACCTAACGAACATCGAGCCCTTTCCGAACCCAAACTGTTCCTTATTCCAGCGTGTTGACTGTAAGGATTCAAGGGCCTTGGCAGGCCACGTCTAAGCTTTTCGAGCGGGGCGCGGCCAACGAAAGTAGCCAAGGATGGGCCGAGGAGGCAAGGATGCAAGGGAATCCTTGGGAAGGTTGCCCTTCCTTGCTATGCGGGTTGACTGTTTTGGAGGCCTGGAAATGGGCACCAACACCAAGACAGGGGGTTGCCTCCACAAGGGGAAAATGATCCTCAAAGTTCGGCGTTGGTGGTAAAAGTTCGGTCACCTTGGAATCCAGGATGTTGCCACCATCGCTGAGATCGGGCTCTTCGTCCGTCGGTGGGGGCACAACGCCGATGTTGGTGCTGGTGTGAACCGCGAGGCCTGCGACTTTAGTATAGACGAGCGCGTTCCACTGCTCGCAAAGTGGCTACTCGCAAATGGCCTGCATCCCCCGCGGGGGACTATCGAAGCAGACGTGTGTTTCTTGTCTTTATTATTTTTCCGGACGCCTACGAGCAGCTTTTTTTGCGAGCAGTGAAACGCGTTCGGTGATAGTAGGACGTGGTTTATAGAAAACGACCTCGGGGCCGGGGTTCTGTCCACCCCAAAAGCTCGCGTCACCCAGATCGTAGAAGAAACGAAAACGCCATAAGCGTAAGCTGTGGGCGTTCCGCGCGGATCTTTCTTGGGTCTGCGCTGGACCCCCTCCATGGCGCGCGGAGCACCCCAGGGGCGGCGCCAAGGGCGCTGTTGTCAGTGGGCCCAACGCGGATCCGAGAAACCCGCGCGGAGCGCCAAAAGTTTACGTCTATGGGTTTTCGTTCTGCTTCCATGATCCCCGGCGCGCGAAGAGGAGAGCGAATCCCGGCGGTGGACAAACCTCCCTTCGGCAAACCACCATCCAGTGAATAAGCGGCCCACGACCGAAACCGACGGACCTGGACCCGCACAAAATGACGGCCGCGACAACCTCTCGCGAACCGAAAGTCATCAACCTCCGACAACAATTACGGAAACGAACTCTATATATATATATATATATATATATATATATATTATATATATATATATATATATATATATATATATATATATACCAATGCGTTTTTCCCGCCCTTGCGCCGACATTCGCACAGGAACGCGGATCCTGGTGTATACGGGACCCTTATATACATTGTTCGCTGCTGCCTTGGGGAAGCGGGGGAGAAGTATACACCACACCACTCCGACGTCGCCCCCGACCCTCAAAAAAGTGCTGGGATAGAAACAGAAACCCGCCACTGGTAATGTATACGTTCCAGCTTCCGACGAAGCTCTATCCGCCTCCGACAATCCCGGCCTGCCGCCCGAACGGGTGCTCGGGAGGCCCGACGGGGGCCAGGCAGGAGGCCCCCAAGAGGCCCCCCGAACAGCGCCCCGAGGGGCGGGCACCGCTGACTGTCCACAGCTTGTTCGATGCTGCTGGGATTCTCGCTGTGTCGCCCATCATGTCGCAAGGCGCCTTCGCCTTGGGACGTGATGGGCCCGCGCGGATCGGCAAAACCACGAATCAAAAACGACCACCTTCGATACGACCTTCCGAACGTTTGTTCGGGGTGGCTCGGCGGAACCACCGCGCCCGACGCTGCCACCGACAGACACACCCTGGTGGCCCACGGAAAAAGTCTTCGGGACCGCGGCGTTGCGACGGGGCCAACAAGGCCAACAGAAACGTCCCACTCGTGCACGGCTTCCCCCGGGGCCGGAGGCGATCCGAGGAGGAGGAGGAGGAGGAGGAGGAGGAGGAGGGAGGAGGACCATTTCCCCTGGCAGCGGTGCCGCCTCTCCCCTCTCCCGCGGCGGGCCCGCCTGCGGCGCCGCGCGAAACCGCGGCTCCGGCCGCCGCGGGCGCCAGCGCTGCGCCTCCAGCGTCTCGACGAGGCGGCTTCTGCGCCAGCGCAAGCAGCTCCTTCAGCGTGGTGTGTTGCCCCTTTTTCGAAGCTTGCGACGCCCACGACGGTTGCCACTGCTTCCTTCTCGGGCGATAGGTTCGATACACGCCGTCCCCCATCGCCAGAAGTGTCAGTGTACTTCGCCTTGTCGATGTACTGCTCATGCTTCGGTTTGTCCGTGTGCTGAACCTTGACCATGTTCAGCTTGGTCATCGGGTTGTCCGTGTACTTTGCCATGTCAATGTGCGGCTCGACGCTCGTGCTGTTCACGTTGAGTTGCTGGCCTCCGTTGTGCTGCTGCACTACTTGCTTGTTGTTGTCCTCGTTCGCGATCAGGATGTCTGTGACGCCTTCGTTCTCTGCAGGCTGGTGCTGACCTCGCGGCTGCTAGTAGGCGTCTCGACAGTTCTGATATCCTGTTCTCGAGCTCTGTCCCGTCGTCATTTGCCTCTTTGGTCTCGCCTGGTCTTCCTGCGGTGGCGACGGAGACCTTCCCACGGTCCTTCCCCTGGCGGCGATGCCGTCGCTGACGGGCTCCCCGCGGGCGCCATCGCTGCACCTCCCGCGTCTCGGCGGGGCGTCTTCCTCGTCAGCTCGAGCAGCTCCTTCAGCGTGGTGCGCTTCTCCCTCCCGAGGTTCGCGTCGCCCACTACGGTTGTCGCTGCTTCCTTCTCGTGTGATGGGTTAATTACAGTCCGTCCCCCATCGCCCGAGGAGTCCGTGTACGTCACCTTGACTATGCTGTGATGATTCGTCGGGTTGTCCGCGTGCTTCACCTTCGTGTTCGCGTGTTTGTTGACCTACCGGCTACAGCAGCTGCATGTCCACCCTTTGCCTCGTCGTTGTCGCTGGAGGAGGAGGAAGAGGAATGGGAATGGGAATGGGATCAATGACGTAGTCATACAAATCAAAGGAAGAGAGAAGGTTGCCTGCCCGACGCACACGAACACCTTGAGGCCGTCGCGCCTGCCCGCCAAGATGACACCCGAGGAAACGAAATTGACGCCGACTGTATAGGTTGACCGCCGTATGTACCCAACACAGTATTGTATTATTAAGCCAAACGCGCCCAGCACCGCACGCCCACCGCGCCCCACGAATATCAGCCTAGCGGAAATGGCCACCCGCCCGTCGCATGCGACAAAACAAATGGCACCCATACAAAACCGTACTGCTGTGGCAATCGCCGAAGCTAGTGCATTGGCATTACGGCGAGACCCAAGCGAGTGACAAGCAAACAACCAATATAGAAACGAGGAAATTCAAATAACATGGATGTGTATTGCTGCCAATACGCGCTACAGACCCATAGGGTATCCCTCGAGCGCAATAAGGAACAAAAAGCCACCCCCAGCAAAAAAAAACTGAAAGTGTATTGCTGCCAATACGCGCTACAGACCCTTAGGGTATCCCTCGAGCGCAATAAAGAACAACATACCCCCCAGCTAAATGCGATACCATATAAACAATGCTGGATTGAGGACCTACCAACAAGGCCATGAATGACACCGATCGGTACGTGCCCAGGCCAGCACCGGCGAGGACTTGACCACCTGCCTGGGAGAACATGAGGCGCACCAGGAGCAGATGGAAAGGACTGTCACCGTGCACCGCAATCGTAGCCGTACTCACCAATTCGTCCAGTCTCGCCATCCGACAGCTGCTGCAACCCACCTGCGGCAAAACTCGAAGCCCCTCAAGCGCCTCGAGAAGGCACTGGACGCGGCTGGAGGTCCATCGCTAAGCCAAAAGCTACGGATGAGCCTCGAGCCACATGTGCTTGAGAGGAGGAGGAAGAGGAGAAGGAGGAGGAAAGGAGGAGGAGGAGGAGGAGGAGGAGGAGGAGGGGAGGAGGAGGAGGAGGAGGAGGAGGAGGAGGAGGAGGAGGAGGAGGAGGAGGAGGAGGAGGAGGAGGAGGAGGAGGAGGAAGGAGGGGGAGGAGGAGGGAGGAGGAGGAGGAGCAGGATGAGGAGGACGGGTCGCCTGAGCCCTTCGGAAAAAAACACCCAAATGGGGTCAGACTTCTCAGTA